TTCCATATAACGATAATTTCCAGAAATACGAAAGCTGCGATATTTTTGTAACTACTGAAGACAATTTACTCAAAATTGATATTTACAATAATTTTCAGACGAAAAATAAGAATATTATAAATTTTTACAAAATGGGCGTAGCCACGCCCACTTATGGTTACATGTGTATATCTTGGTAACCGCTGCACCAATTTCTTCCAAACTTGGCACAGTTGTTGGCCTTGGTACAGCATAAAAAATCGCCGAAACTTTTTAAAATCGGACAATAACCACGCCCACATCCCATATAACGGTAATTTAGAGAAATACAAAATCTTCGATAAATCATTAAATATGAAAGCTAATTCATTCAAAATTGATGCTTGCAACAATTCTTTACCAAGAAATACGTTTATGGTAAAATTTTGGAAAATGGGCGTGGCACCGCCCACTTATGATCACATATATGTATATCGGTAACCGTTCTACCAATTTGTACCAAACTCGGTGTGGTTATTGTGCTTGCCACATATAAGCAAAACGTTGAAAATTATTGAAATCGGACTAAAATAACGGCCGCTTCTCATATAACGGTAAATTTCAGAAATGCTTGAAACTTCAATATTTCGAAATTTAAGGACGCTAATTTACTCAAAATTGATACACCCCGGCTTACCATGTAGCGGTAGCTTTCGGAAAGGTGAAAAAACATATATTTAATACTTGCACCGGGTATTTAATGTTCGGCTCCGCCCGAACTTAGACTTTCTTATTTGTTATCCTTATTCTTATTCTCAGCACTTTTATTTGTACAAGTAAACTTGTATACGTTTAATTTGTTTTTACACCAAAATTTATACAAAATTATAATGGTAAAATAATTGTATATGCGCGCAACAAATTATGATTGATTTTATTAAAGTTTTAGATATCTTAAAGAAACTTGGTACGTTTCTTTTAATCTAAGGACGGATGGTATGGAAGATGGGCAAACCACGCCCACCTCATGTAACGGTAGCTTCGAGAAATTCATAAGCAGCTATATTTTAGTAATTATTGAAGCTTATTCACTTAAAATTTAAGTTTTGCAATGATATCTTAAAAATGAGAATATTAAAATTTTTTGGAAAATGAGCGTAGCCCCCGCACCAATCAGTAACTACTGAAGCTAATTAACTCCAAATTCCTTAGCAAGAAATATGCTTTTAACAAATTTTTGGAAAATGGGCGTGACACCACCCACATATGACGACGCAAAAAAGCAAGATTATGAAAATGTTTGAATTAATTAAATTAATTATTTAAATTTAATTGTTTTGCGAGCATATTTGCAAGCATATTTACAAATGTTTTAGTGCTTATCTAATCGCTTAAAATGGATTTTTTCTTGCTTACTTTCTGCGGCCCTGTTTATAACACATAACATTCTCTCAGCAAATCATACATGCATTTCAGTCAGACACTTTTTTAAACTAACATATTTTTCCATTTGACAGGATTTCCTTGAAACCGCAGCCATGCATGGCCTCTCCATCATGCCTTTGGTTCAAACGTTCGGCCACATCGAATTTGCTTTAAAACTACCAAGATTCGAACATATGCGTGAAATATCCGAAAGTCCACAGTCTATATGCCCCAGCCAGCAGGATTCAATTGCATTTATTCAGAACATGCTGACCCAAATTATAGAATTCCATCTTAGCTTAAATGGTGCAGCTACAAATAGTAACAGTTCATCAACAGTGGCGCAGGCCACTTTTTTGCCATCGGACCATTCCAACAAATTCACACACATTCACATTGGTTGTGACGAAGTGGCGCGCATGGGCGAGTGCAACCTATGTCGACAGCATGCTCGCAACGAAATTTTCCTCAGCCACGTAACGACTATTGCCAATTTTGTGAGAACGCACTGGCCTCAACTACAGGTGGTCATTTGGGATGACATGCTGCGCGGCATGATGCTAAGCGAAATGCATCATTCGCACATCGGCAACTACGTAGAGCCTATGGTGTGGGTGTATGCCAACGATATATACAGATTCATACAACCGCAGCTGTGGGACATGTACTCCAAAGTCTTCCCAACCGTTTGGGCAGCATCTGCTTTTAAAGGTGCGTTTGGTGAGAGCCTTATGATACCACCACTGCAGCGCCATTTAGAGAATAATATCAGATGGCTAGCAGTCGTTGCGAAAGAGGGCGGACGGTAGGTAGCTCAGTATTGGTTGGCTTCATTAATATAAGAATAACAAAAGTTTTGGCTTCAAATACATATCTACATACATATGTAGGTTTTCGAAAGGCATACGCGGTTTGACATTAACCGGTTGGCAACGGTATGATCATTTTGCGGTGTTATGTGAATTGCTTCCGGTGGGCATACCTAGTTTGATTACCTCACTATCTACGGTGTCAAAAGGTCATTTCATTACCAATCCGAAGGAGAACGACATTTTGCGCATACTCGAGTGTGCCTTCCATCCAGATAGTCGGTAAGCTGGATTCAACGTAAAGTTGCTTTATTTTTTTCTTTTTAACCCACATGTAACTTTTAGACGCTCAGGACATCCCTGGATAGAGCTACACCCGAACTCACATCATAGTCAGTTATTTTCCTCCTGCACATATCCCGGAAGCATGGTATACAAGTATGCGTTGCGACTCTTTGATAAGCTAGTAGAGGTACAGAATTACTTGCTACATGTGAAGGAACAAAGTGCCTGGATGTCGGACTACAATGTGCGTCACAATTTTTCCTCGCCACTCCGTGTACGGGAGCTCACGATTAATACGCCGAACTACATTAATGAACTAAGTGGCATGGCCAGAGAAGCCCACGAAGTGATGTACGAGGTGTTTGACGATGTAAGTGAATTGATTGTTGTGCACCAAAAAGAGTTGAGTAAACGTTTTCTTTATTTTCAGTATACCATCGTTGAATTTGTCGAGCAAAATATTTATCCGACGATTGCGAAACTGCAACGGCAATTGGAACACGCCCAAAGTTTAATGCAACGACGTGTATGGCCGCAGCGTCCTCTTCCTTACGGTGCGGAATTGGTTGAGCTTAATTTGGTTCCCCTTCAATTGTTAAATGCGGCCGGAACTGGCGCTGAAGCTGGGAGTAATGGTGATATGACATAAATTTAAGTTGTAGTTTTAAGCCCTATGGCATCAAATGACGTTAACAATTGAAATAATATTCAAATGCTTTAAGCAAAGAGATTATTAAAAAAAAGAGCACCGTTAATTAGGCGAGAAACACAATTTGTCTCGTCATTTACACTATGTAACATACATACATACATTTGTGTATGCATGTACATACAAGTATGTTAACATTAAATTAAACTTAATATTAAATTTAATGATCACTGAACAAATACTGTTAACATTTTCTATAATGCTTTGTAATTATAATAAACAACAATCTATATCTAATTACATATGTACATATGTATATGTACATATGCTGTAATAAATACAAACATGAATACTTTACATTATAAAATAAAGACGTGATCACATTAATTTGTATGAAGTTTTTGTTATTTTTTTTATTCACAAAAAAAAATCATAGCAGTTCGACATGCAAATATGTGTATGTACATACAATACATGTCGCATATTTACTGAATAACCCGAAAAACACGGGTTTTCAGCTGGCGCACAGTGGTCGGATAGGCAATGTTTTACGCGAAAAAGGCATATTTTAAAACTGTGATAAATTAAACGGTATAGAACCATTTTAATCAGAAATGTTCAGCGAACTCAAAACTGATTAGAATTTTTAATAATATCTGCTTAGCAATCCGTTGAATCCGTTTAATTCAAAAAATTCGGTCGTGGCATGTTCTAACAGTTACGAGTTGATAACTTTCTTAAAAAATTTTCGTATGGAAACTTCAAATTATAATAGTAATTGGTGGTTTGGTGTTACTTCTTAAACATGGAAAATTATGATTTCATATGAACAATTACATAATGCAAATTTGTTGCCAAATTATGAATACCTTATTAACACGGATTATTTTTCAAGAAATATTTTTTTTCAAAAAGGTATAACTAATTAGTAGGGCCGAGCAGGATCTTCATTCCTTTTCCAAAAAGTAGTCCTTCAAGGATCTACTAAAAGAAAAGCCACGCATACTCGCGCCAATCAGAGTGGAAAGAGTGGCGGCCATTTTTATTTCACTAGACCAACTTTAGCGGCTGTTCCAAATAACATAAAGTGTATTAAAATATTAAGGATGAATGCAATTTATTCTATATTTAGCATTATATCATTTATGTGTCTTAGCAAAGCTGAAGTCAATTTTCAAAGATCCCATAACGAATTTAATATGGCGTCGAAGAATTTAAAAAATTTATGAATTTTCATGAAATTTGGTATTTAGAGGTTCTTAAGTTCGCCCATTACAAATTTCAAATTACTTCGATTCATTTTTATTTAATTTCATAGTGCATATATTTGTATTACTTTTATATTAGCCTAGGTCCCCGTATTAGTATTATTCTTCGTGTTCGTGCTCGTCTTCGGATTTGTTTATAAGTTAGCTAAGACTTCTGGAAAAGCTGGCAATACTCCTAAATATAGTTGAGAAATAAACAAATCTCTTGTGTCTGATATTTTGGTAATTACATATTTCATTTGCCTGATTAATTAAGTTAAATTTGGGTTTTAAATACGTGCGAACGCTCCTAATACAGTTCAAAAATAAAGCCTTTGCTTAGAAAATATCAACCAATACTTCCCATATAACAAATGAAAGGAAAATACCTGAACTGTTGATTAAAGGAAAAAACAAAAATAATAATTCGAGCGGGTTTCTTACAGAAATGAATCTGTCCACAGGTTTGGAATTTTGTCTTTCAAACGCCACACTTTTCTTTGAAATCACTTCACTAATAACGTCGACTCTAAATTTAGGAGCAGCTTTTTTGGCAGATACATATTACATTGATAATTATGACAAAAAGCTGCAACTAACTTTAGTTGTTTCTTTATTTTGACTATTGTTGTTTTCAAAAATTGTAAATGTTTGCAAACTTAAAAAAATGTTAAATCACATTTGAATTTAGATGTAATACAGTTCAAGAGTCCCTGAAGAGTTTTCTTTGGGAATAAATTCTCTCATCGACGAATTTTCATAGAGGTTTTCTGAATTCAAGGAGTTATCGGATACACTCAAATTTATTATGTATTCTGATGTGACTTCACTTGATAAACTGAACTTGTTTAAATTTGCTATTACTAAAATTTTAGAAACTTGGAATTCAATTCCAGACATATTAGATGTCTGCAGAAGCTGGCGTTTGCACACAAGGTACACAGAGACATTTAAGAGACGCTTAATTCGTTTTTGTTTAATTTTTTTCACGATTTAAGTGTCAACCAATGTCTCCAAGAACGGTTATAAGTCATGACTTCTTTTTGGCACATCATGGCTACATTGAATAATTTTTTGGAAATAATGGCACGTGGATGTATGAAGACGTACTGCAACGTTGATTAACGGCGCAGTTGATCTTATCAAAATTGCGGATTGACGAGCCCACAGATCATGTTTCATGTTTCAGATCATGTGGATTCAAGTCCCACGGCCAGTAGAATTTAAATTTATTTCGTTTTTCTATATTTTTTTAAAGTTGCTTTCAGTCAGTTGTCGGTGATTTTTTAATAAAAATCAAGTCTAAAAATTTAAATTAACTAATAGTAATAGAATAAAGTAAATTTAATTATATAAATAAAATAAAATAAACAATAAAAATTCTTGGCCAATTGTTCCAACCGAAGGATCGAACCTCAAAGCTACAGGCTCGTACCGCGCAACTCTCCCCACTCGGCTACCGCGCACAGGAAACTGACTACTTGGTTTGCTTGCTTATACAAAAGACAACAGCTGGCCGTTTTTACCAGTGTTGTCATCGAAAACTCCCCTGATCCAAGTTCATTCCCAAAAATTGCGTGCATTTGTTAAGGTTGTTTATGCAAATAAGCGAGCCCGTTTGTCAACCGTATAAATTCAGTTCGCAAACGTGTACATACAAATATAAATGTATGTACCCAATAAACATTGGGCTTGGTTAACAATTCGAAAATGATTGGAAAACTAACATTTTTTTCAAGTCTCACCATCGATAACGAATGTGGAATAGGTTAGTATTCGATTCGAGAACTAGGCCATTCTCCAGCAAAACGGAACCTTCGATATCCAATGAATTTTTCCTTCGTTATGAATACGAAATCCAGCCCATTATCGAATTGAAATTTTAATGAGGGAGAGTGATTGTATTATATTTCCATTCGAAAATGAGCTGGGTTTCACTTCCCTCTTGCTACTATGGTTTTCATTTTGTTTTTCGAACCCATCTCGAATATATTTCCAATACACTATGAACGTTGGAAAACTAAGGTTGGTTATGATTTCGTTCTCAGTGCGATATTCATACTGGATATCGAAGGTAATTTTCGAACTTCCGCCAAAATGTTTATAGGGTAGTTTTTCACTGCTTAGCACTGTGTGAGCTTAACCTTTTACCAGACACCCTGTATATTTGTGCTCACATTTAAGAAATTCTGTTCACGGACCATCCTGTGCGGTATATTTTTGGCCTTCAGGAAACGTGTTCCTATATTAGTCATTATGCAGCGAATTGGCACCTGCGTCGGTGGTGTAATGGTTAGCATAGTTGCCTTCCAAGCAGTTGATCCGGGTTCGATTCCCGGCCGACGCACAATATTTTTGCAAATTTGTTGTTTGTAATATTTTTTTTTCATACTTTTAATTCTGACACTGCACAGGAAGGATAAATACAGTGGAATAAACCGGAAACTGACAGAACAGAAGGAAAATATAAAATATATAACAAAAATTCATTCAAAAAAACTGACAGTCGCTTAACATCCCTTCCGTCGCAACCTGCGCAAAAATTCATGTGCCGAGAAAATCGATGCAAGCACAATGTGAACGTCGTCAATTCACTCATTGAATGCTACTAAAGTGTACGCCAGCAAAAGCGAATAGTCGTGCAAGCGGTTGTCGTGTTAATTATATAGAAAATAAATGTGTTTAAAATATAATTTTGTGAAAAGAATTTGAAAGGAACTCCGAGAAAGCATATTTACTTGCATAATAGATCATCTGTATATCAACGAATTATAAAACAAAGTTCCAGAGAAGAGAGACTCACTTCTCGGAATATCCGATATACTTTTACTAGGACCGTTTTTTTTTGTAACTTCCTGCATTCCAATAAGAAAAGGTGCTAAATATTATGGGAGTTACTGATACAACTTCAGAAGATGGTGATTCATGCACCAAAATAACATTAGAAACATTTCGTGAAATTTTTCGCAACATAGAGCCGGAAGTACAAATCGATGCTTTTGAGGTAAAAAATATATATGTATATTTAAAAAAAAAATCCACAAATACATGTTTGTATGTATGTATCTATATATGTATGTATGTAGATATGTACTTTATATGAATAAAACAATAATGTACATACTGATGGAGTATTGCATTTTTCGCTGAACCATCAGCAAAGGCTCCAAACGCGATTTCAGTATTACATCATTGCTAAAGCCTCCGCCACCACCCAACTCATCTTTCTCTACACATCACACATTCAGTTGATTCTGGGCTACCACAGATGTGTGCTCTTAATTATTACTATAGCTAAGTGTGTAATGTGAAAAGCGAATTGTATTAATTGCGGCAAAATGTTTATTTATAATTCAATAGCAAGCAATTGTCGCAGGGTTGATGGGTCACAGAATCAAATTGCTGTTGCCACTGCGGCTTTTGGCTGAATTGCGGTTAACGCCGCGAGAGGAGAAGCTATGCAGTGCAAACTAGTAATTACGATGGTGTGCAAAACTGCAATACTAGTAATTTGTTGTCTTAATCCGATGCGTTCTGGCGCTTAAACTAGTTAATTTTCTTTAATGTAATGTAGGTATGTATGTTGTATTCTACAGGAGGAGCAAGGGTCAGGCCGCGGTGACAACTATACAGCCACTTTATACCGCACACATCTTAGTGGGCAGCGAAAGAGCACAACAGACGGTAAAAAACAAAAATGGGAAAAGAATTTAATCTGTAAGCGATTGCCGGAAGATGTTCAACGCCGTGAAGCTTATAAGAGTGATAAGCTGTTTAGGTGAGTTTGAAATCTTTCAAAATGCTCCAAGTACAAATTGAGTATGTATGTGCATATGTATGGGTAGTATGTATGTACATATACATATGTATATTTGAACTCGTTAAAAAAATATTACGGCATATAAAATACTGTGCGTCGGCCGGGAATCGAACCCGGATCAACTGCTTGGAAGGCAACTATGCTGACCATTACACCACCGACGCCACCGTTAGATCTTCGCCAAATTTTATACACATACGCACATATGTATGTATGTGCCTGAAGTTGCCATATCGTTGATTAAAGCGGAAGTAAATAGAACTGAAAGCAAAAGTTTGAACCATTTTATAAATTTGTTAATAACACTTTAAATTATAAAT